CCTGGGATAGGCAGATGTGGATGTTTGATGGTATTACAGGTATCGTCGCAGGATGGAAGCAGTTCCTAGTAAGGCCGCCTTTTGCAATTGACTAATAGCGAATTTGTCAATGCCAATGGTGTTCATGTGGTGCTCCAGTTGTTTTGGGATTGCACCCAAGGAGCCTATGACTATTGGTACTACCCTTGCTTGCTTTTGCCACAGTCTTTCTATTTCTATTTGTAGGTCTTTGTATTTTGTTATCTTCTCCAGTTCTTTCTCTTCTATTCTGCTATCTCCAGGCACTGCCACGTCCACTATCCAGACTTTTTTGTCTTTCTTATCGACAATTGTTAAGTCTGGGGTGTTATGTTGCAGGTGCTTGTCTGTTTGAATTCTGAAGTCCCAGAGCAGTTTAATTTTATCATTTTCTATGACTTTCTCTATTTTATGATCCCACCAGTTTTTGCTTACAGGCAAATGATATTTTTTGCAGATCTTCCAATGCACCATTGTTGCTACTTTGTCATGCCGCTGCTTGTAATCAGTTTGTGCAATCTTCTTGCAACAGCTTACCAAGTGGTCCACTGTTTCTTCAGCTTCTTTGCATAGGCGGCACTTACTGTCTGTTGCTGTCTTCTCAATTTTGACTTTGTATGCATTTGTCCTTAAGGCTTGGTCTTGTGCAGCCAGAATTAGTCCCTCGGTCTCTTTCTTCAATTTTCCTGCTCTTAGCCATTGCCAGGTTTTATTATTATCTGCTTTCCCAGCTATTTTTTTCATGTATTGGCCATGTAGTGCTTTGTCTTCCCATGCCTCTATTCTGTTCTTCATTTGGTCTTTCTTGTAGGCCAGTTTGGTCTCTCCAGTAGTTAGTAAGCCTTCCTGATATACTAATTTCAGTGCATCTTCATCATTGTTCTTCAGATATTCTTCCAAAGCCATTTTTTCTTCTTCAACCATCTGATGTACTTGTAGCATTCCACGCCCACCTATTTGCCTTGGTAGATAAAGTCTATCAATGTCACTGCGTGGATGAAGGGCATGATTCATTGTCATTATTTTTCTGGTCTGCCTATCCATTGCTTTTAGTTCTGCTTGAGTCCAGTCCACTATTCCAGCTGTGTACCTAATGACTGGGATTGCCCAGGTGTTGATTGCCTTTATGGTATTTCCTCCATTGAGTTTGGATTTTAAGATCTTCTTCACTCTCTTGATGTATTCACCTCTAATCTTTTTCTTGACTTCAGTGTGCTTGATGTTGTCAGCTTGAAGGATACCCAAGTATTTGTAGTACTCTTCCTCATCCAGACTCTTAATGTTATTTTCGTGGGGCATCTTGATTCCTTCAGTTTTCACTATTTTTCCTTGTTTGATAGTAAGTGTGGCACATTTGTCCAAGCCAAACTCCATTACAATATCTTGGCTATATATACGGACAGTGTTGAGCAGCGATTCTATTTCAGATGATGTTTTTCCATACAGCTTCAGATCATCCATATAAAGGAGGTGGGATAGTCTGGCAGATGTTTTTGATGTTTGATAGCCATGTCCTGAGTTATTCAGTATTGTTGACAGAGGAAACAGTGCAATAACAAATAGTAATGGTGATAATGAATCTCCTTGAAATATTCCTCTCTTGATATTAACCTCTCCCAGCCTCTCACCATTGATCTGCAACTGTGTCTTCCATTGTGCCATCGATCTTTGCACAAATTTTCTGATGTTTCTACTGACTCCTGTTATTTCTAGGCACTTTATTATCCAATCATGTGGCAGAGAGTCAAATGCCTTTTTGTAGTCAATCCATGCCACATTCAGGTTGGTCTTCCTTCTCTTGCAGTTTTCCAAGATCATTTTGTCTATTAGGAGTTGATCTTTTGTTCCTCTGCTATTGGGGCGGTTTCCTTTCTGCTCAGGTGGAAAGAGATTGTTTTCAACTAGATGCTGTTGTACTGCATCAGCTACCACACCAGTTAGTAATTTGAAAGTTGTTGGTAAGCAGGTAATTGGCCTGTAGTTACCTGGTGTTGCCCCTTTTGCTGGATTTTTCATTATTAGGTAGGTTTTCCCAGTTGTTAGCCACTTTTCAATTTCTCCTCCTTGTAGTATATTGTTGAATTGTTTGGCAATGAGTGGGTGTATAACAGTTAGATGTTTCAACCAAAACCCATGCAGTTCATCTTCACCTGGTGCTGACCAATTTTTGATTTTCTTTGCTCTTTTTTCTACCATTTTTGTTGTTATTACTAGTTCTTTCATTTCAACTTCTGTTTTATTTGCATCCACCTCTTTTAACCAAGCCGCATCCTTGTTGTATTTCTTTGGGTTATCCCATATCTGCTTCCAGAACTGCACTGTTTCTTCCTTGTCAGGTACTGACTGATTCCTTGCAGTTTCTCCATTGATGGATTGGTAGAAACGTTTCTGATTGGATTGAAATTGGAGGTTCTGCCTATAGTTTGCAATTCGAGCTTCATATCTACTGATTTTCCTGGCTATAGCTGTTATTTGTTGCTTTATTATTTCCAGTGCTTCCTTGATCTTCCTTGTTTCTAAGTGGTATTTCTTGATTAGGTATTCTTTGGTCTTCTTGTTCTTCAGCTTCTTTTCTTTCATCTGTTCTAGCTTGCTTGCATGTGATCTTAACTTGCTGATCTTATTTTCTAGTCTAACCTTCCATTTTTCTGGTGCACTGTTTGTTTGTTTTTCTTTTTTGTTGATTTTGCATCCCAGGTATTCTGTTATAACTGCAGCTGTGCTGTACATTAGTTGGTTTGTTTCTTGCAGTGAATTGGTGCTTATACTTGCTATTGCAGTATTTGCATCTTTTAATACTACTACTATTACTATTATTATTATTATTATCCAAGTGGCCATAATGTCAGAGACTCTGGGAAGCTATCTTGTGAACCAATTTTTGTACCCATGTTTCCCCGAAAATAATTAAAAATTAATTTTTGCTCCAAAAGATACACTAGATCTGTGGTGGTGAACCTATGGCACGCGTGCCACAGGTGGCACGCAAAGCCCTCTCTGTGGGCACGCGCGCCGTCGCCCCAGTCCTAGGCCTTCAGCTGGGTTTTATAAAACCTTTTCGCTTTAGGCCTCCGTGTGCAAAAAAAAAAAAAAGTTCAATCAATCAATCAATTTCAATTTCTCGCGGGGGAAAAAAAAGATCTCTCAAAGTTGGAATTGATTGATTGAACTTTTTAGTCCCACCCAGTCTGCCGTTATTACGCGGTAGTATAAGTCCTAAGCGTAAATTAAACCTGGTTCAAAGCACTCCTGGGTTTTCCGAGCTTTGATTCCTGGCCCAAGTGTGTTTCTATGGCTACTGGGTAGCCGAGATAAGATTTAAGCAAGGAACTTGGTCACTTGTGGCCAAACCGTCACCGTTCCTTCTTGGATGGTGGGCCAGTGCTGTCATGGCTTTAAAATGTTTGAAATAACTTGGGATTCCAATTTGGGCCCTGGCATTGCTTCCCAGAGCTTTTTTTCGAGAAAAATGGAGGGTGGATATCAGAGGTCGAATTTAAAGAGTTTTTGGCTTAATGTCCTGGTTCCGACAGATGAAACTCTTCAAAGAACTTCGAGGCATTGTTTACCTTAAAGAATCTTTATTTGAGAAGCATAGCATTGGCACTAACACAATGGAAACCAAAAAAAAATGAATTCCCCTCCCCTGAGCACACAGTATCAAAGCACAATTCCCTCCTCCAATTAACTGTCATAAATCACATTCCCCAATTAGCTTGAAACGCAGGCTTTCCCTCCAGTTTTCCAGCCTGCCAATTCTTATCGTCTCTTATTCCAATAACCTTGATTCTTACGCTAGGTCCAGTATTGTTATGTCTAGCTAAACCAGTGTTTCTCAACCTTGACAATTTTAAGGCACGTGGACTTCAATTCCCAGAATTCTACAGCCAGCAATGCTGGCTGTAGAATTCTGGGAGTTGAAGTCCACATGCCTTAAAATTGTCAAGGTTGAGAAACACTGAGCTAAACCCTCAGGCACATTCCTCCCCCCAGCGTCATCTAACTGTTGTCAAAGCAAAAACATCCAATGTTAGCAGCGTTGACAGATTCCTTGCAGGACTCCGGCGGTGAATGTAGCCTGCGAGGCTACAATAATTCACTATATGGGTAGTCCTCGCCTTACGACCATTCACTTAGCAACGATTCAAAGTTACAGTGGCACTCAAAAAAGTGACTTACGCCCATTTTTTGCACGTACGACCCTTGCAGCGTCTTCCCGGCCACGTGATCGGAATTTGAATGCTTGGCAACAACCAGCCTGTATTTATGACAGTTACGACGTCCCAGGGGTCAGGGCATCACCCGTTGACAAGCCAAGACAATAGATTCACTTAATGACCGTGTGATTCACTTAACGACTGCAGGGACTTGTTTAACGGTGGCAAGAAAGGTTGTAAAACGGGGCCAAGCTTGCCGAGGATTGCCAGGCTTAGCCGCAGAAATTTTCAGGGTCAGTTGTGGTCGTAAGTTGAGTGCTTCTGTTCTTTGTTGTTGTTAGTTGCGAAGTCGTGTCTGACCCATCCCGACTCCACGGGCAACGTTCCTCCAGGCCTTCCTGTCCTCTACCATCTTCTGGAGTCCCTTGAAGCTCACGCCTCCTGCTTCAGTGGACTCCATCCAGCCACCTCCTGCTCTGTCGTCCCCTTCTTCTCTTGCCCTCCATCTTTCCCAGCATGAGGCTCTTCTCCAGTGAGTCCTTCCTTCTCCTTAGGTGGCCAAAGTACTTGAGTTTCAACTTCAGGATCTGGCCTTCTAAAGAGCAGTCAGGTTGATCTCCTCTAGGACTGACCGGTTGGATCGCCTTGCAGTCCAGGGGACTCGCAGGAGTCTTCTCCAGCACCACAGTTCAAAGGCCTCCATTCTTTGGCCTTTCTCAGCCTTTCTTATGGTCCAACTTTCACAGCCATACATTGCAACTGCTCTTGGGCATCCGCTATTCTACGCAAACCCTAACGCCGATCCATGTTTCTTTCTTTTCTCAGGATAAAGCAGCTTTGGATGAAAGGATCGCGTATTTTAAAACCTACCTGGAGACCAAAGGGGCAGCTTTGAGCCAGACAACCGAATTCCTCCCTTTCTACGCCCTGCCTTTTGTTCCCAACCCGATGATCCACCCGTCCTTCAAAGAACTTTTCCAGGTATGTCCTTGATTGGATCAGGAATGGCGCCTGCACTCCTCCTTGGTCAAGACTGACGGGTGCAGCATAACGCTTAGCCCAGTGGTGGCGAACCTATGGCACAGATGCCAGAGGCGGGACTCAGAGCCCTCTCTGTGGGCACTTCTCTGAACTGCTGTTGGCGGGCTGCAGAGCCCCAGAGTGTGCCGGTCGAGGGGCTGGCAGATTGTGGCTGCTGATGGACACTGTCGGCCCCCATGTGCTCGCTGGCCTCTGTGTGCGGGGGCCGATGGTGTCAGGCAGCAGCTGTCCCAGCCCCTGCTTTGCCTTGTCCTGAGATAGTGGCACCCCCAGTCTGCCTTGCCTCACCCCGCAGGACGAGCCTCCTACCCACCATGCCACCTGCCAGAGACCCCCTGGATCTCCCCCAACCTTGCCCGGCCCCCACAGGCATCCCTCCCCACGAGCAACATTGAGGTGATCATGCCCACCTTGGCCACACCCACCCAGTCTGCCATGACCACCACAGCCACGCCCACCCAGTGGGCCACGCCCACCTGGCACCCGGCAATAAATAAGTGGGTTTTGGGTTGCAGTTTGGGCACTCGGTCTCTAAAAGGTTCGCCATCACTGGCTTAGCCTAAGCAAGGTTGGGAACTCAGAGCCAGAGGGAACTCAGAGTTTGGTAGTTGTTAAGGAGATGGCTGCTCTGTCCCAGCCTACGCGAGTCCTTGTTACGCTCACCAGGAGAAAACCTTCTTCCAAACAAGCAGGCTGGAAACGCAGGACAAAACCAATCCCGTTTTATTATTCACAAACTTGAGTCAATGTCCAAGGCAAACAAACACAATCCACTCGACACAAATAGTTGCCTTCAGTCACCAGCACCTCCCACACCTTCCCTTTTATAACTCAGCCCTTCCTAATGCCTTCTCCTTTGCCTTTGGAGCCGCCCCATTGCATTCCTCTGTCCTACTCACTTCTCTTGCATCCGGGATTTGTCCCAGCTGTTCTTCATCACTGTCCAGCTCAGACTCCCAGCACAGCTGTGTCTCAGCTTGAGCGCGAGTAGAGGGGCCAGGCTCCTCGTCTGACTGTAAGTCTTGGAGCTCCTCAGAGTCTTTCTCTGCCTCTGATGTCACTCCAGGCCCCTCCTCCTCATCCTCTGATTCCTCAGACTCAGCTACCGGGTTTACTGGCTGGCGAGGAATCACAACAATGGCCTAGAAAGCAGGAGGCGTTGAGTTCTAGTTCCACCATAGGCATGAAAGCCAGTTGGGTGACTTTGGGCCAATCACCAGGAGACGGTGAGTTCTAGTCCTGCTTTAGCCAGCTGGGTGAATTTGGGCCAATCACCAGGAGACAGTAAGCTCTAGTCCTGCTTTAAGCACTAAAGTCAGCTGGATTAGGGCCAGCCCCTCTCTCTGAGCCCAATTTACCTCACAGCGTAGTTATGGGAGAAGAGGAGAAGGAATATTATGTATGTTTGCCACTTTGAGTTACTTATAAGCTAATTTAAAAAAAACCCCTCCCTTTTACAACCTGTAAATGGAGGTAGTGACGGATTTTATCTTCCTGGGCTCAAAGATCACCTCAGATGGGGACTGCAGCCAAGAAATGAAAAGACGCTTGCTCCTGGGGAGGAAAGCTATGGCAAATCTAGACAGCGTACTGAAAAGCAGAGACATCACCCTGACAACAAAAGTGCGTATGGTCCAGGCCATGGTTTTCCCAGTTGCAATGTATGGCTGTGAAAGTTGGACCATAAGAAAGGCTGAGCGCCAAAGAATTGAGGCCTTTGAGCTCTGGTGCTGGAGAAGACTCCTGCGAGTCCCCTGGACTGCAAGGTGATCAAACCGGTCGGTCCTGGAGGAGGTCAACCCCGACTGCTCTTTAGAAGGCCAGATCCTGAAGTTGAAACTCAAATACTTTGGCCACCTAATGAGAAGGAAGGACTCCCTGGAGAAGAGCCTAATGCTGGGAAAGATGGAGGGCAAGAGAAGAAGGGGACGACAGAGAAGGAGGTGGCTGGATGGAGTCCCTGAAGCAGTAGGCGCGAGCTTCAATGGACTCCAGAAGATGGTAGAGGACCTGGAGGAACGTCGTCCATGGGGTCACGATGGGTCGGACACGACTTCACAACTAACAACAGCAAAACCCAAATCACTTCTGCTAAAACATGCCGTGTGTTTTTCTTCAGTTGAAATTATTTGAAAATAACTGACCTCTTCTCTTAATCTTTGGAACATGACTTGGATATCCAAGGCCAAAACTAAGGCAGATTTAAAAAAATAATAATTTTAAAAAAATTATTTCTCCCTATCTATAAACACTGGGCACTGGTGAATTAGGTCTTTTGCTGAAGAAGACTCCTGCGAGTCCCCTGGACTGCAAAGGCGATCCAACCGGTCAGTCCTAGAGGAGATCAACCCAGACTGCTCTTGAGAAGGCCAGATTGTGAAGCTGAAACTCACGTACTTTGGCCACCGAATGAGAAGAAGGAAGGACTCCCTGGAGAAGGGCCTGATGCTGGGGAAGATGGAGGGCAAGAGAAGAATGAGGTGGCCGGTTGGAGTCCCTGAAGCAGGAGGCGTGAGCTTCAATGGACTCCAGAAGATGGGAGAGGACAGGAAGGCCTGGAGGGACGTTGTCCATGGTGGTCATGATGGGTCGGACACTGCTTCGCAACTAACAACAACAATGTCCTCAACTTACGACCACAGTTGAGCTTAAAATTTAGGTGGCTAAGTGAGAAATTTGTTAAGCGAGTTTGGCTCCATTTTACAACTCTTCTTGCTGCACATTTGTGAAATGAATTGTTGCAGTTGTTAAATTTGTCACCTGGTTGTTAAGTGAATCTGGCTTCCCCATGGATTTGGTTTGTCAGAAGGTCACAAAAGGCGATCACAGGACCCCGGGATGCTGCGACCGTCATAAACATGAGTCAGTTGTCAGGCACCCAAATGTAAATCATGTGACCGTGGGGATGCTGAAACGGTCATAAGTGTGAAAAATAGTCATCATTCCCTTTTTTCAGGGCTATCGTAACTTCAAGCGGTTACTAAGCGAACATAAGTCGAGAATTACCTGTGCTATATATAAAATAAACAACCACAAAGGCAATAAGAAAGAAAAGAAAAAATTACAGGCACGCCAAAAAGGGGGGGGGGAATGAAACGATAAAGAAGCGTGCACAACCTATCTCGAATCAACTTTAAATGTTGAACGTGCATCGTCCGCCCTGATTGAATGTTGGAAAATAGATCTCAAATAAATCTAGTAGATGCCCCCCTCTTGCACAATTGGGTCTACAAATAATTATGCACCTTCTCGTCTACACTTTACTATATCAGCAGTCCTCGACTTAGAAAAGTTCATTTAGTGACCATTCAAAGTTACAATGGTGCTGAAAAAAGTGACGTAGGACCATTTTTCACACTTGTTGCAGCCTCCCCGTGATCAGCATTCAGACTCTAGGCGGCTGACTCCTATTTATGACGGTCGCAGCGTCCCCCGGGGTCACATGACCCCCTTTTGCAACTTTCTGGCAAGTAATGTCTATGAGGGAAGCCAGATTCGCTTAATGACCGTGTGACTAATTTAGGAACTGCAGTAATTCACTCAACGAAAGTGGTGAGAAATGTTGTAAAACGGGGCAAAACTCCTTTAACAAATTTCTCACTTGGGCCAAGACTACAGGACTGCCTGTATTTGGAATATTACTGTTTTGCATCACAGTTACTTAAAAGATCTCTCAAAATATGCAAATCTAATATCAGTCATTCGGGCCGACCCAACGTCTGTGTCAACGCTGCTAACATCGGATGTTTTTGCATTGACAACAGAGGGAAATGAAGCCCTCTTTTTCCCTTTTGCTTTTAGAGTCAGATGATGCTGGGAGGGGGAGATATGAACGTGAATCCAGCTAGACATAACAACATTAAACTTAGCATGAGGATCAAGGTTATTGTAACCAGAGCTGATAAGGAGTTGGCAGGCTGGAGAACTGGAAGCCCCGCTTCAAGCTAATTGGGGAATGTGATTTATGACTGTTAATTGGAGGAGAGAATTGTGCTTGGATACTATGTGCTCAGGGGAGGAGAATTCAGTTTTTGGCTTTGATTATGCAGTGCCGATATTATGCTACTCGAATAAAAGATCCTTTAAGGCAGGGCTTTTCAACCAGTGGTACGGGTACCACATGTGGTACATTGGCACCTGGCAGGTGGTATGCATCAGCTGGAATGTTGCAGCATCTCCAAGGTCTTGTGATTTACATTCAGATGCAACTGATTCATATTTATGACAGTCACAATGTCCCAGGGTCATGGGAAGTGACCAAAACCTGCTGCAACCATCCAGCAGACGGGGGGAATAAAAACCAAACAGCCCCCTACCTCACCTCCGCTGCCAATCCTCAACAGAAATGCTCACAACAATGAAAACCTTGGACGGGAGGAAGAGCACGGCCGGGCGGGCAGGCCGGTGTCTTGCTCGGCTGTGGCTTGGGGGGCACTTTTTTCAGTGCCCTTGTAAGTTCAAACAGTCACTAAGCACACTGTTGTAAGTTGAGGACTACCTGTACTTTATCACTTTTTTCCTTTTTTTTTTTTTTTTTGGTCATCAAGTTTTTGACACCTTGCTAGATGCCTGGTGGTACTCAGATATTGCCATATCCTAAAAGTGGTGAAAAGGTTGAAAAGCCCTGCTTTAAGGTAAACAATGCCTCAAAGTTCTTTTGAAGAGTTTCATCTGTCGGAAGCATGACAGCCTGTCAATTGTTAAAGAAAAAAACTCTTTCAAATAAATCCACTAAAAGAGGCTAATCTGCAAAGCCCTCTGTTAACAGTCCGTTCTTGTATTAAAACCCGCGGAAACGGCACTTAACGGCTTCCAGCGCCTTACAAAATTATCCTAAATTTGAACTTGCGGAGATGGCAAAACCATCTACGTACAACAGTTCTCATCGGCGGGTGTGTTTGTTTTTTTCCAGGATTCTTGGGAAACTGATCTGAAAACAAGGCTGGAAGAATTTCTGTCTGCCACGCTGAAGGCCAACGAGAGCCCAAGGCTTCTGACCTTATATGTATCCTTTACAAAACGCCTTAAGAGAAGGCAGTTGAACCGACGGGAAAGGAACTCTTTTCAGACTGCAAATTCAGTGGGGAATTACACTGTAGACCACTGGGATGTTATCCTACGATATAAACTGGAGAAAACATTTTCTCAGGCTGAGAATCATGCGAGCCTTTAGCAGCCTCTGGCGGTGTTGTTAAGTCTCGCCTTAGAAGCGGCACACACACGCAGTTTAGCCGGTTGATAAAAATGTAGCAATTAAATTGGGTCACTCAGATCCCTTTCTTTTAGAATGGAATGGAATGGAATGGAATAGAAGATGGAATGGAATGGAATAACGAATAGAATAGAGTAGAATAGAATGGAACGGAATGAAATGGAATTGGAATTGGAATAAAACTGAAAGGGACCTTGGAGGTCTTCTAGTCCAGCCCCCTTTTCGAGCAGGAGAATCTGTACCATCTCAGACTGTCCAGTCTGTTCTTAAAAACTTCCAACCTATTCAACCTATTATTTTCCTAGCAAACTACAAATCTTTATCTGATAAAAGAGAATATTAGTAGCTGAGAGCTGAAGAGCAAAGTACTTGGTCCTCTCTGAGCTTGGGGCTTTTCTTGCAAATATTTCATGGCCCAATTAGGGATATGATGCTCAACAAACAGGGATAGATGGTGATAGGGATTATGATGCTCAACAAATGGATAGAATGCTGATAGGGACATGATGCTCAACAAACAGGGATAGGATGCTGATAGGGATTATGCTCAACAAACAGATAGGATGCTGATAGGGATTATGATGCTCCACAAACTGATAGGATGGTGATGGGAATATGATGCTCAACAAATGGATAGGATGCTGATAGGGACATGATGCTCAAGAAACAGGGATAGGATGCTGATAGGGATATGCTGAACAAACAGGGATAGGATGCTGATAGGGATATGCTGAACAAACAGGGATAGGATGCTGATAAGGATATGATGCTCAACAAACAGGGACAGGATGCTGATAGGGATTATGCTCAACAAACAGGGATAGGATGCTGATAGGGATTATGCTCAACAAACAGATAGGATGCTGATAGGGATTATGATGCTCCACAAACTGATAGGATGGTGATGGGAATATGATGCTCAACAAATGGATAGGATGCTGATAGGGACATGATGCTCAAGAAACAGGGATAGGATGCTGATAGGGATATGCTGAACAAACAGGGATAGGATGCTGATAGGGATATGCTGAACAAACAGGGATAGGATGCTGATAAGGATATGATGCTCAACAAACAGGGACAGGATGCTGATAGGGATTATGCTCAACAAACAGGGATAGGATGCTGATAGGGATTATGATGTTCAACAAACAGGGATAGGATGGTGATGGGAATATGATGCTCAACAAACAGGGATAGGATGCTGATAGGGATTATGATGTTCAACAAACAGGGATAGGATGGTGATGGGAATATGATGCTCAACAAACAGGGATAGGATGCTAAACAAAAGCCCCTTTTCCTTAGCTCTCATCCTCTCGCAACGCAGAAAGAAAACACGCAATGCAGCCAAGGTAAATACATAGATAAAGAAATTGGGATTTTTCAGCTCTCTGTGGTAGCTCTCAAGATGGTACAATATTTACCTAGTCCTCAACTTACAACTATAATGAAGCCTGACCCTCATGATCATAAGTCACGATGGCCTTAAAACGGGTCAGTAATGCAACGGGCCTGATTTTACAACCTTTTGTGTGCGCAGTTGTTAAGTGAACGCTGCGGCTGTTAAATAAACCAAAGATTAGCTGTGGGTGGGGTTGTGCCCTAAAACAGAAATAAAGTCCTCGTCTTACGGTAATTCATTTAGTGACCGTTCAAAGTCACTAAAAAAAGTGACTTAACGGCCGTGGCTCACACATACGACCGTTGAAGAATCCTAATGGGGACGTGATCTGAATTCAGATACTTACGACGGTCGCAGTGTCAAGTGATCCGTTTTTGCGACCCCCCGAGAAACAAAAGTCCCTGGGGGAGCCGGATTCACTTAACAGCTTCACAACGGCAGTGATTCTCTTAACGACCGTAGGAAGAAAAGTGGTAAAATTGGGCAAAAGCTCCCTTAACAACCGTCTCACTTAGCAACCTAAATTTTGGGCTGAATTGCGGTCGTATGTCGAGGACTGCCTTTATTGTATCTCCCGATATACTGCAGGTTTTCTGTTTTTTTTTTTTTTCTTTCTTTTTTTTCTGGCAAACATAGGTGGCCCTCCACTGAGCCATCCGTTTAGTGACCGAAATTAACACAAAGACCATTTTTTTTGTGTTTTTTTCTTTTTCTTTTTTCTTTTATGTCTCCTTGGACTTTCATTTACTTTTGTATTATATATTTCAGCTTTGTTCTGAAGGAAAAAAAAATATAGGAAATATATCAGTGACCGAAGTTAAAAAACGCACCAAAAAATGTGACTTAGGACTGCAAGTTTCGCTGTGGTCACGGGAAACTAACTCAGATGGCTTGGCAACCGATTCGAATTTACGATGGTTGCAGTGTGCCCTGGGATAACGCGATCCCCTTTTGCGACCTTCTGACCAGCAAAGTCAATGGGGGGGGAAGCCTGATTTGCTTAACGACCGTGTTACCGACTTAACAACTGTGGCGAGAAAGTTCGTAAAATGGGGCAAAACTCCCTTCAAAAGTGTCTTGCTTAGCCACAGACGTTTTGGCTTCCATTTTGGTTGTAGGTTGAGATTGTAAGTTGGTTGTAAGGAATGCCACTAACTCTAGCCCAGGGGTAGGCAACCTCGGCTCTTTTATGACTCGTGAACTTCAACTCCCAGAATTCCTCAGCCAGCATGGCTCAGCTTGGAAACCTCTCGTTTTCCCCTCAGCTTGGCTGGCTCAGGAATTCTGGGAGTTGAAGTCCGCAAGTCATAAAAGAGCCAAGGTTGCCTACCCCTGATCTAGGTAAAGTGGGCTTCAACTCCCAGAATTCCTGAGCCAGCCTGGCTCAGCTTGGAAACATCTCCCTTTCCCCTCAGCATGGCTGGCTCAGGAATTCTGGGAATTGAAGTCCACGAGTCATAAAGCCGCCTAGGCCTAGGGCAGGAGTAGGCAACGTTGGCTCTTTTATGACTCGTGGACTTCAACTCCCAGAATTCCTGAGCCAGCATGGGGGAACTATGGCCCCCTCATGACTTGTGGATTTCAACTCCCAGAATTCCTGAGCCAGCATGACTCAGCTTGGAAACCTCTCCCTTTCCCCTCAGCATGGCTGGCTGACGAATTCTGGGAGTTGAAGTCCACAAGTCTTCAAGGGGCCAAGTTGGAAGAGCCCTGATCTAATTTAACATGGAGAAAAAAGAGAGAACAAAATAAGAGTTTTGGGAACAAACTGGGAACTCTTAGTCAGCCTCCGTTCTTACTACATCACTACAACGCTCTTGTTTTCTCACTTCGTCCCTTCCAATCCTTGGCAGAAACATTGCAGCAGCTTCACCAGCAGCTGGTGGAGTCCGAACGGAAAACCATGACCTACCTCAAGCGGTTCAACAAAATCCAGGCCGATTATCACAACCTCATTGGCGTCACAGCTGAGCTGGTGGACTCGCTGGAGGCTACTGTGAACGGCAAGATGGTAAGGACATCCCTGGAACTGGCATCCGGGTCTGGGGGCTGTAGGGGTCAAAAAGGTCAAGAGGGCGGCTGTGACTGGGCGGTCAAGACCCCACCTCTTTTTTCTGCACATGAGCAGACAAGACCCCAGCCCTATTTTTGCACAGGTCATATGGGCAGTCAGGACCCCCGCCCCCATTTTTAAAGAGGTCACATGGGCAGTCAAGACCCCAGCCCTATTTTTAAAGAGGAACATGAGCAGACAAAACCCCCACTCCTATTTTTGCACAGGTCACATGGGCAGTCAAGACCCCAGCCCTATTTTTGCACAGGTCATATGGGCAGTCAGGACCCCCGCCCCCATTTTTAAAGAGGTCACATGGGCAGTCAAGACCCCACCCCTATTTTTAAAGAGGCAATATGGGCTGTTAAGACCCCACCCCTTTTTTACACAGGTCACATGGGCAGTCAAGACCCCACCCCTATTTTAAAAGAGGCAATATGGGCTGTTAAGACCCCACCCCTTTTTTACACAGGTCACATGGGCAGTCAAGAACCCACTCCTATTTTTAAAGAAGTAATATGGGCAGTTAAGACCCCAGCCCTATTTTTAAAGAGGTCACATGGGCAGTCAAAACCCCAGCCCTATTTTTGCACACGTCACTTGGGCAATCAAGACCCCCACCCCTATTTTTAAAGAGGTAATATGGGCTGTTAAGACCCCGCCCCTTTTTTATACAGGTCACATGGGCAGTCAAGACCCCACTCCTATTTTTAAAGCGGTCACATGGGCAGTCAAGATCCCACCCCTTTTTTACACAGGTCACATGGGCAGTCCCTACCCCTATTTTTAAAGGTAATATGGGCTGTTAAGACCCCAGCCCTTTTTTTACACATGTCACATGGGCAGTCAAGACCCCACTCCTATTTTTGCACAGGTCACACAGGCAGACAAGACCCCCACCCCTATTTTTGCACAGGTCTCGTGTGCAATGCATGTGAAAAAGGGTTAGGGTTTCAATTACACGGTTTCACCTCTTGTGTCAGAAATACAGGTAGTCCTCAACTTACGACCACAACTGAGCCCAAAATTTCTCTTATTAAGTGAGACGGTGGTTAAGTGAAGTTTTGCCCTCTTTTACGACCTTTCTTGCCACGGTCCTCAAGCGAATCGCTGAAGTTGTTTAGGTAGTCACACGGTTCTTAAGTGAATCTGTCCCCCCATTGACTTGGCTTGTCAGAAGATCGCCAAAAGTGACCCCCCCCCAGGGACACTGCAGCCGTCATAAATACAAGTCAGCAGCCAAGAGTCTGAATTTTGATCACCTGACCCTGGGGATCCTGCAAAAATCGTATATGTGAAAACTGTCATAAATCACTTTTTTCAACGCCGTCGTAACTACGAACAATCACTAAACAAACAGTCGTAAGTCGAGGACTAGCTGAAATTTCTTTCACCCTCCTGCAGGGAAGGTAACAGAGGCGTATAATTGTAATTGTCTTGACTTTAATGTTTTTTTTAACCTTTTAATGCCTCACATCTTAATGTTTTTAACCTTCGAAAGTCCAGGGGTAGGCAACCCTGTCTCTTTTATGACTTATGGACTTCAACTCCCAGAATTCCTGACCCAGCGTGGGGGAACTATGGCCCCTTCATGACTCGTGGAACTCCCAGAATTCCTTGGCCAGCCTGGCTCAGCTTGGAAACCTCTCCCTTTCCCCTCAGCAGGGCTGACTCAGGAATTCTGGGAGTTGGAAGTCCACGAGTCATAGTGGTGTCTGAGTTTACATTTGCTAATACATATTTAATTCCTAATCCTTTATTCTTTCCTTTAGCCATTGATAAAATAAGTCCCAAGTTTGATAATATTCCATTTCTTCTTTTTCTTTCAGTCTCATAGTCAGTCTGTCCATCTCTGCGCATTCTATTTTTTTATTATTATTATTATTTCTTCATCTGATGGTATTCCTTCCTTTTTCCAGCATTGCGTAAATATAATTCTTGCCGCTGTTGTGACGTGCAAAATCAAATATAAAGCTTTGTTTGTTAGACTTTTCTGGCATTATACCTAATTTTAAAAAGTTCAGATTTAAAATCTACATGTTCTCTCAACATTTTTTCCTAGCCAGATATGTATCTTTTTCCAGTAACTCTTTATTTTGTCCCATCTTTTTTTATCAACCTGAAAATCTGGAGATCTCCTTTATAAAAAAAAAGCCTTGGGATTTCCACACTTGGGGGGGGAGGAATGAACTATTTTAGTTGTTACTCCCAGATCTCACCAGACGGTGGCACTGTTGAGTTGAGTGTGAGCATGACTCTAACCGAATTCAGGGCGGTTTGAAAATCAAATGTGATGGCGTCAATCTGCATTTTATGGTGCTGGATTTCATTGATTGATAGAATCCTAAAAGCAGGAAAGAAACACCCCCCCCCCCCCCCAAAAAAAACTTGATCTTCCTTACCCTCAAATCAGAATAAAGCTGGAAGGGACCTCGGCGGTATTATAGTCCAACCCTCTCCTCAAACATTTCAGACACGTGACCCTCCAGTCTCTTCTTAAAAATTTCCCATGATGGAGCGCCCACAACATCTAGTGGCAAGCTGTTCTACTGGTTCATTGTCCTCACTGTTAGGAAGTTTCTCCTTAGTTCGGGGGTGGTTCTCTCCTTGATGAGTTTCCATCCATCGTTTCTTGTTTTGCCTTCTCGTGCTTGGGAAAACAAGTTGACCCCCCCCCTCTTCTTTGGGGCAGCCCCTTAAATATTGCAAGACTGCTATCATGTCCCCCTTAATCCTTCTTTTCTCTAGACTAGCAAACCCAAGTCCTTCCTTAGATATGAAAGCCAACTGGGTGACTTTAGGCCAGTCACTAGTTTTTCAGTGCCGTTGTAACCTGGAACGGTCACTAAATGAACGGTTGTAAGTCAAGGACTACCTGGACTTCAAAGCACTTTGACCGGTGGGACTTGAGCAGTTCCAATTTTGCTGTTTTCCTCCCATATTGGTGAAAACCATTGGGGAGGGGGTCGGTCTTCTCGACCACCCCCTCAAAACCTGTTTATCTTTCCAGTTGTGGTTGTGGTTGTTTTTAAAGGGAAACAAGGATCTAACTTTCCTTATTGGGGTTTATTGCTTACCTCGCAGATCACCCCGGAAGACCTGCAGAGTGTCTGCTTGCGTCTGTTTAGCAATCAGATGAAGCAAAGCGTTGCGCATAGCATAGACTTCACCAGGCCCGGCACTGTAAGTATAATTGTGGGGGGGGATTTTTTGTGTGTATGTGGGTGCTATCTATGTTGGGTTTCTGAGTATTTTGGCCGCAGGCTCCCTGCCTCATGCAGAGATGAAGACTTTCAGTCATCCAGGCCAAGGTGTCTGAAGGTTGAATCCTTGAACTGGACCAACTGGGCAATGCTAGGCTGCATTAACAGAGGGATAGAATCAAGATCAGGTGAAATGTTAATACCACTTTACAAAGCCTTGGTAAGGCCACACTTGGAATATGGCATCCAGTTTTGGTCACCATGGTGTAAAAAAGATGTCGAGACTCTAGAAAGAGTACAGAGAAGAGCAACAAAGATGATCAGGGGACTGGAGGCTAAAAGATACAAGGGACGGTTGCTGGAATTGAGTATGTCCAGTTTAATGAAGAGAAGGACGAGGGGGGACATGATAGCCGTGTTCCAGTATCTCAGGGGCTGCCCCCCAAAAAAGGGAGTCAAGCTACTCTCCAAAACCCCTGAAGGCAGGACAAGAAGCAACGGATGGAAACTCATCAAGGACAGAAGCAACGTAGAACTAAAGAGAAACTTCCTCACAGTGAGAACAATTGACCAGTGGAACAACATGCCACGAGAAGCGGTGAATGCTCCAACACTGGAAGTTTTTAAGAAGAGACTGGACAGCCATTTGTCTGAAAAGGGTTTCCTGCCTGAGCAGGGGGTTGGACTAGATGACCTCCAAGGTCCCTTCCAACATTATTATTATTATTATTATTATTATTATTATTATTACATAATTTTTTGTGAGCTCAAGACTTTTCGCTGCTCATCTAAGCAGCTTCATCAGTCAGAGTGAGCCAGCAGTGAAACGTCTCAAGTTCACAAAAATTTGTCCTAGACGCCATGATTCAACCTTCAGATATCCGTGCCGGAATGACGGAGGTTTTTCGCTGACACCTGGCAAGGCATTTTGGGTTCCTGCGATAAGAATCGGTATGTTCCAACATACAACTCAAGTTATGTTCTAACCGACTTGCCGTGACTAATGAAGCTGCTTGGATGAGCAGTGCAATGTTGGCAGGATTTAACCTTTTATTTCAAAGGTGTTTTTTTTTCATTGGTTTATAATGCAAAACACAAAAGAAAACGCTAGGAAACTGAGGCGGAAGGGAAGGGAAGAGTGTCGGGGAAAAAAGGGAAGAAAGAAAAGGCGTTGACTTCAGACTCCTTTTGACACAGTAGAAGAAGAGACAGGTGGTCCTCGGCTTACAACCACAGTGGAGCCCAAGATTGATGTTGCTAAGTGAGGTTTTGCCCCATTTTACGACTTGTCTGGCCACAGTTGTTTTAAGGGAATTGCTGCAGTTGTTGACTAAGTAAGACGGTGGTTAAGTCAAGATCAGGTGAAGTGTTAATACCACTTTACAAGGCCTTGGTAAGGCCACACTTGGAATACGGCATCCAGTTTTGGTCACCATGATGTAAAAAAGATGCTGAGACTCTAGAAAGAGTGCAGAGAAGAGCAACAAAGATGATCAGGGGACTGGAGGCTAAAACATATAAGGAACAGTTGCTGGAATTGGGGATGTCTAGTTTAATGAAGAGAAGGACGAGGGGGGACATGATAGCAAGGTTCCAACATCTCAGGGGCTGCCCCAAAGAAGAGGGAGTCAAGCTCTTCTCCAAAGCGCCTGAAGGCAGGACAAGAAGCAATGGATGGAAACTAACCAAGGAGAGAAGCAACCTAGAACTAAGGAGAAACTTCCTGACAGTAAAAACAAATAACCAGTGGAACAACCTGCCTCCAGAAGCGGTGAATGCTCCAACACTGGAAGTTTTTAAGAAGAGACTGGACAGCCATTTGTCTGAAATGGTATAGGGTTTCCTGCCTGAGCAGGGGGTAGGACTAGATGACCTCCATGGTCCCTTCCAACTTTATTATTATTATTACTGTAAATGTGAGCCAGTTGCCAAGTGTCTGAATTTTGATCACGTGACTGCGGGGGAAAGCTGCGACGGTCGTAGGTGTGAAAAACGGTCTTAAGTCATTTTTCCCAGGGCCATTGCAAACTTGCGAATGGTCGCTAAACGAGCTGTTGTAAATTGAGGACGACCTGCAATAGCGTCAGAGCTAAACTTTTTACTTTTTACCTAATAGTGTAAACTCGCCATTTCTATGAACAGCAAACGTATCTAATCGGTCAAACCCAAATTCAACGTTTCCTTTTTTTTTTTTTTTTTCCCCACCTCGAGCACAAAGTCCAGAAGCGGTTTCCAAGCAGAAACGAAAGTCATTGCGGTTTGGGGGCTTTTTTTCCTCCCTCTTTAATCAAATCAAGCCAGCCATCTCTGCTTACTCCATCGGTTTTTGCAGCCATCCGCCCATTGTTCAACCTTGAAACCCACATGGGGATGTTTCGGATGGCTTCAGCCACCTTCAGCCCAGAATGTTTCAAAGGTTCTCCCCCGAAACTGCAGCCCTGTACAAAGTCCTAAAATGTTGGCTTTCCAGCTTTTATCTACTTCCTTTCCACCACATTATGCAGGTTTTTGTTCCTATTTCTATTTACGCTGAGAGAACAAGATTGCAAAGGTGTGGCTCGGCCAAGGCCAGGTATTTTAGACTGATGACTCACGTCTAGATTGGGCTATGTCTATCCCGTGGAAAGAGAGATATTGGTGTAGGTGCAAGAGGGGGCAGTGTCTTTGGTGGCTCTGAGCAGTGTTTAATCAGGAATTTGAATCCAATCTACCACAAGTACAACAACTCAAGAAGCGTGGGAAACTGTAAAAATATGATCATAAAAGCCCAGTCCAACACAATACCACTGAAAAAGAAAAACAAGAAATCCGAGAAGAAACCAGCATGGCTGCACAAAGATCTCTATGACAGCGGTTCTCAACCTGTGGATCGGGACCCCATTTGGGGTCGAACGACCATTTCACGGGGGTCGCCAAACAACGCAGTCCGCCATTTTTTTCTCCCTTTTCCTTAGCTGTGCTACTCCCTTTTATTCTATTGGCTTTTGAAAGCCAATAGAATAGACTCTCTTGAATAGAGTCTAATTCTATTGGCTTTCAAAAGCCAATAGGAATTGTCCAGGCTGTCTCTGCCCTGCTGAGCCCGCCAAAAGTCCCATTCTGCAAACGGTGCTGCACCAGTTGAGTAGTCCTCGACTTACGACAGGTTGAGTAGTCCTCGACTTACGACCGGTTGGGAGGTCGCGGCATTAAAAAGGTTGAGAACCACTGCTCTATGATAAACTGAAAGAAGCTTTATCTTAGATAATTTTGGGTAGAAGGGGCACCTGCCCACCTGAGAGAGGTATATAACGGAAGAAACCCAGTCTTTGTTTTTGACAGTGATTGTCTAAAAAAAAGGCCACTAGCTTATACACTAAATTCTCGGTCTTCTTCCTAAGCAACTGAAATTTCAGAAACTTAATTTGTCAAATGAAAAAATGTTCCAGGTATGAATTTAAGAGCAGAAGTGCGTTTTAGATAACATGAAAGGTTTTTTTGTTTTGTTTTGTTTTTTAAAGCAGGGGTTTTTTTTCCCAACCTCTTTTTCATCTTTTCAAAACGTTCTGCTGGATGACGGAATGATTGGATTTGCGTCTGCTCGGTTTAAGGAACAGAGCCAATTTAGTCTAGTGGTTAAAGTGCTGATCTACAAACCAGGAGACAGTGAATTCTAGTCCTACCGTGGGGCATGAAAGCCAACTGGATGACTTTAGGCCAGTCACTATGAGACCGTGAATTCTAGTCCTTCCTTGGGCATGAAAGCCAACTAGGTGACTTTAGGCCAGTCACTAGGAGACCGAGAATTCTAGTCCTTCCTTGGGCATGAAAGCCAACTGGGTGACTTGAGGCCAGTCACTAGGAGACCGAGAATTCTAGTCCTTCCTTGGGCATGAAAGCCAACTGGGTGACTTGAGGCCAGTCACTAGGAGACCGTGAATTCTAGTCCTTCCTTAGGCATGAAAGCCAACTGGGTGACTTTAGGCCAGTCACTAGGAGACCGTGAATTCTAGTCCGTCCTTGGGCGTGAAAGCCAACTGGGTGACTTTAGGCCAGTCACTAGGAGACCGTGAATTCTAGTCCTTCCTTGGGCATGAAAGCCAACTGGGTGAATTTCCAAGTTTGAGGAACCCTTGAATTCCAGATCTAAGTACAAGAGGCCCCATGAGTTACCTTCACAGATCCTGACCAAGCAGAGTGGCGATTTGAGCGAATTTAAGCCATTTTCTACCATTGCTGTACACTTGAAAGAGCAACCTGTGGGAGACCTTACCAAGCCTTGAAAATGAAACAAGCCAGCTGGGCAGGAGTGTCTGGGGCACAACTCACCAAAGCGGAAAGAATTTTAAATAAATCAAATGCTTTTGATTGCCGGTAGGGTCGAAAGGATTTGAGCAGGTTTACTTCTGTTTATTTGCCCCAACATAATAATAATAATAATAATAATAATAATAATAATAATAATAATAATAATAATAATAATAATAAACAGACAGTAAGGGCCGCCTATGCAAAGAAGCTGAAGAAATAGTGGACCACCTAGTAAGCTGTTGCAAGAAGATTGCATAGACTGACTACAAGCAGCGGCATGACAAAGTAGCAACAATGGTGCATTGGAAGATCTGCAAGAAATATCATTTGCCTGTAAGCAAAAACTGGTGGGATCATAAAATAGAGAAAGTCATTGAAAATGATAAAATTAAACTGCTCTGGGACTTCAGAATTCAAACAGACAAGCACCTGCAACATAACACCCCAGACTTAACAATTGTCTATAAGAAAGACAAAAAAGTCTGGATAGTGGACGTGGCAGTGCCTGGAGACAGCAGAATAGACGAGAAAGAACTGGAGAAGATAACAAAATACAAAGACCTACAAATAGAAATAGAAAGACTGTGGCAAAAGCAAGCAAGGGTAGTACCAATAGTCATAGGCTCCTTGGGTGCAATCCCAAAACACCTGGAGCACCACTTGAACACCATCGGCATTGACAAATTCGCT